TGAAAATGGCTCTAATTAGGCCTTCCGGTATATCACCACTGTCGTACATCTTATTTATTATATCTGTTATTTTGTTAATGCAGAAATCATTACTTTTCAATTTCACTAGTGCTGATCCCACTTCAGATTTAATATTTTTCGTCCTTCCATATTTTTTACGTATTGCAAGATTTCCTTTTCAGTTGTTGAAAACCTCACCAATGTATTCCTTCCTCTCTGGAACTGTTTTTATTTCTCTTTTATCCGCATTCCCTCTTTGGATTTTATGCCTCCTGTTGACAAGCACACCTTATTATTTTTCTGATTCCTTTATGCGTATCTGCTTTATCTGTGATGCTCACGATTTCTATTTCTGCACGCTTTTCGTTGAGCCATGTCTCTTTTGCCTGCCTGCCTGCCTGCCTTCATGTTTTTCTAATTTTTTGTGTAATGTCCAATATTCCGTACCATACCTTGGTATTGTTTATTGTCTATTTATCATCTGTCATCTGTCATCCACTTCTTTTTTCCTTGATTAGTTTTACTAGCGATGATCTCGTTTGTTGATGTCGCTAAAGCTTTTCTTAATGCGTCTCACTTTGAATTTTCATTTAGTTTATTGCATTTGCTTTTGAACTTTGTCAGTATACGTCTCTTTGCAATTCTGGTAAATCGTGAGTCTGCCATATTGCCAGTTGTGTGTTGCTTTGATTTTCTTTAATTTCCATAGTTTTATTCTATGATAACATATCACTGGCGGGTGTTCACTTCCACAGTCGGCATTTGTATATAAATTGTCGTGTGAAACTCCATTCTTGAATCTCTTATTGATAGTTATGTATTCAAATGCCGTCTCCTGTCTTGAATGATATTTAATTTGGCTTGTTTCTATTAATAATAATGGCTTCTAGATGCAAAATGTCTTTCCCTGCAATGAAAGCTATATAGTATCTTAGTATTTACTAATATTTTTCTTTTATTATTGCTTGTATTTTGGTTGTGGGTAATGCGATGATCAATATGTGCAAGTTTCAACTGTCGACAAGTCATCCTACGAGACAGCTTGATGCCTGTGAAGCCGATTGGAATAGTTTGCTATTATTTTCAATTAATTATAATAGAGATGCAACCTACCAAAGCTCTGAGAACACCCTCATTTTTGCCTAGTAGGATATTATACCTACATCCAGATAGATAGATAGATAAGAAAGAAAGAAAGAAAGAAACGGAAATAAATAGTTTCCTTCTTTCTTATCTATCTATCTAACTATCTATCTATCTATCTATATATATATATATATATATATTGATATGGGAACTTACCCATAATAATAATGGATTCCTTACATTATAAATACTGCGCCTCTCAAGAGGTTTGAGGAGATTGTAAGACGAGGAGAGATAATTGAGAGTATATTGTAAGGATATTGGGATAGTGATACCGTGGGACAAGGAACTTGGACTATAACATATATATATATATATATATATATATATATATATATATATATATATATATATATATATATACAGAGAGAGAAAGTGAGAGAGAGATTCACCAGATGACAGGCAAACGAAATTGATCAAAGATAAGTGGCGTTCTTAATATTTTTATTACATTAGAATTAAACAGTGTCATTGTTCTTTTTTATATTACATGTCGAATTCAAAAACCTCTATACTGTATCTTGGTTTACAAAAAATCCTGTAAATTCTATCATTGCCGCAGGAGACAAGATGCAAGCAGAATCACAAAAATTAAATAACTTAGACAAAGCTGAAAATTTAATAGATAAAAAAAGAAATCTAGAAACTTAAACAGAGAAGCCTGAATCAACGTTTAAATGGCTTACCTACTCGTCTGCCTACGAGAAGACAACTTACAGCTTCGGCACGTGACGAGCTTGTTTAAATCGTTGTTGGGTCGATATTGCACCCACGACACTCCATCTTAAATGTTTACTAGCGAAGTCATTAAGGCTATAAACGCGTCTTATGGCACTGTTGACGGAGACGATGAGAAAGTCTTCGTTTGCGAAACCAAACCATGAGGATGACATTATATATTTTTATGTATAACTTCTACTTCTAAAGATAATTTTGCCTTTTAAGACTCGCGAAGCTTTTGTCTTTTTACTCATTTATTTTTTAGTCACATCGTCGACGCCAACAAAGCACTTCCTTTTTCAGTTAAGTTTCACTTAGGTAATCCAAAATGCCACATGCACTGAGGTCAGGCGGTTAGGGAGCGTGGCGATAAATTAAATATTATATTTAAGCAAAAAACGCTTAATGAATCATGGCAATGTAGGAATTTATGCCCCCAACGGCTGCACCGTGTCCACAAAAGTGTGTACAGCAAGAATAGCACAGAAAGAAACTGGAACGAGATTGTTCTGTTCTGACCAATTCGTTATCCTGATCTAACCTTATTTCAACCAAATAATAAGTCTGATTGCTGCAAAATTTTTAATGAAGAATGTGATGAAAATTCAAGAGATTGCCAAAAGCTTTTTAACAATAAAGCCGGCGGGGTGTTATTTAAAAGTTGGCGAAGAGTTGCCTGATAAGTTGCATTCGTAAAGAACACAATGACCAAATCTAAACGTCACTGATTGTATTATTATTAACAATAGAAAATGATCTATGTTTTAATATTGAATTACGATATCCAGCCTCTTACGAGGACGAGACAGCAGAAATTTGGTTCTACAAAAGGATAATGAAAATACCCTGGAGTAAGAAACAAGAAAGCCTTATAGAAAATAAGGGTTAATTTGCAGTGTAACACCCGCGCTCAGTTCGCATTAAAAATGTCCAGAATACTTACATTTATATGTAACTGTACATGCTCCATTCGAATCTAGCTTGATAAATGTGATAAAATTTACCGTTGTGGGGTTATCGACAGTGAAATTTCGGATTCATTCATGTCGGGGGCAGCCATTACGGTTGTTGTTTGCATACATTCGCTGCAGAATAGCTATCAGTGTAGGTATCATTGCGCAAACTGAGCTTGTCTACGTAAATAGTTCTCGTGCGCAGTAATTGAGACAAATTTAGACAAGAAAGATCAGTTCCAAGCTTAGCTTTCCGAGGTCTTCCGCGTTTAGCTTTCCGCAGCGAATGTATGCAAACAACGTGAGTGATGGCTTCCGCCAAGGACGCGAATGAATCCGAACTTTTACTGTCGATAACTACAAAACGGTAGATTTTATCAAATTTGTCAAGCCAGATTTGAATGGAGCATGTAGAATTAAACATAAATGTAAGTATTCTGGAAATTTTTAATGCGAACTGAGCGTGGGTTTTACACTGCAAATTAACCAAAGAACCGAAAGAACCCTTCTATCCCAAATCAGGAAACGAGAGCTGAAATCCATTGCAAACTTAATCAGGAAAGTGGACTTGGAAAATATAACCCTCAAATCTGGAATTACAATATCCATCCTCTTCTATGGCAGTGAATGTTGTACAATTTCTCTACGGACGAGCAAGAATCTAGAGGCACCAGAAATTTAGTTCTGCAAAAGAACAGTGAAAATTCCCTGGATTAAGCAACAAGAAAACCTTATAGAAAATAGCAACAGAACGAACCCTTCTATTCAAAATCAAGAAACAAGAGCAGAAATTCATTGCAAACTGAATAAGAATGGTGGACTTGAAAAATTAAACCGTCAAGGGGCATATTAAGAGCAAGAGAAATAGGAGAAGGCATAGAGCCACTTACCTGACGAGCTTGTATGAATGGATAGCAGAACTACGTTGGAGGGGTGACTTAGCAAAGTGAGAAACATTAAGAGGCACACGAGATAGAAAATTGTGGAGAGCCATGATCGCTATCAAAGTTATCTCCAAATTATTTTATATCCAATCGGAAAAATCGGTAAATATATTTATCGTTATGCTACACAAGGAAGGGGAAGTTGTGGAGACCCATGATCAAACTCACATTGTTGAAAAAGTCACAACTGACAGTTATATTCACAAAACCACTGTCTACTTTTACTAAGTTAACTCATGCTTAGTAACCATTCGATTTTTTTCTTTGGCCGTTTTCAAAGCGCTGGAAATGTAATTTTTAATGACAACGAACTTTTATTGGAATTTGATTTCATTTTCTTATCACCTGTAATTATTTCCTGACGAAGCCATTCGACACTAACTCGAAATGATGACAGATTACTGATCAGATAGATAAGATAAAAATGAAGACTGAAAATCGATGGACGACAGCAATGTTATCTCCAAATCATTTTTCTGTCTTTTCTTTAACAACTACAAAAAATGCATTTAACTTGGTTTGTGTATTCGACATAACTTTTATCGGAATATCTTTGTTCCTTTCGTTCTCATAAAATGCTATAGAGTTTTAAAAATAAAACATTATCAAAATAAACTTAGAATTCTATCCACTCAAAATGTGAAACTGTCCAATTTTCCTAATATTTTTATAGCAAAACCGGCTTTCATGAATCACCCCCTCCGGAGGCATATAAAGAAGGATATAACTAAACAGTGGTTTTATATAGGTTTTTTTTTTTTAATTCACTCCGCATTAGCAATTAATATGTTCCGTCTAAAAACATTTCTTCTTGAGGAATTTTAATTTAGCCTGATTATGTTTATACAGACGTAAATCAGATAAAATTACTTGTCAGAAAATAGCAACATATACTTATATACACATGCGTGTGTGCATATGTATGTTTGTGTGTGCTTCATTTCTTCTTTTATTTAATGTGTATGTAAGTTATAAGTTTTTTTTACGTATTTAAACCTGGAGGCGCGGCAAAGGAAAGAAAAAAGTATTGATATGTCGGATGAATGAATTGATTAAATCGAAAGCAGATACCCAGCGGTGATCAGGACTTGAGCAATTGTTTTTCTATTCCTGCGTGTCTCATGCACCCCCCCACCATGCACACACCGCGCACACACATATAGCCAAAAAGAATTATATGCATTTTGTGGGGGAGAGGGGGTGGGGTGTCGAGTTGGGAAGAGCATCTCAATTAATTTTACAAAATTAAACTGAGACGAAGTATTGATTTGTTGTACTTAATAGATAGATAGATAGATAGATAGATAGATAGATAGATAGATAGATAGATAGATAGATATGGGCATATTGAGATAGATAGATAGATAGATAGATAGATAGATAGATAGATAGATAGATAGATAGATAGATATGGGCATATTGAGATAGATAGATAGATAGATAGATAGATAGATAGATAGATAGATAGATAGATATGGGTATATTGAGATCGATAGATATTAACAGATTGTCGTCTAAATTACGCAAAAATGAAAATAACACTGATATCTCATTTTAACAGATATATTTACCAAAATTACACAAAAATATCTTGAAATACTATACAGTAAACCTATTCAATAAAATCGCCATTAGCTTAAACCATGGTCTCCACACGGCTTTGGAATCTCCTACAACTCTTCTGGGCGGTCTCCTTGTTTAAGTTGACGAATACTGCCATAATCTTAGCCTTTAGTTCATCTTTGGTGTTACAAGTAGTTATGTTGGTCTCTTGCTCAACTGCACCC